ATATACTCTCCTGTCATGTATAACTAAAAAGAGCAAATTTTTTAAATATGGGAAAAAATAGAGCCTCTTAGTCTGTTGTTTTTAATTGTACCTAAAAACCTCTTGTGTTCTTCTGAAAAGAGAGCTAGTGAAGGGAGCAAGCCATCCATGTAACGATCCTTGCAACTCTTCCTTGCAGGAAGGTCAAACTACACTGTAATAAGAACCATATATTTCCACTGATCAGAGACCAATTATTAAAATTTCATAATTAAGAAATTTATGGCCAGGCCTGGTGGGGCACATCTATAATTCCAACAACTCAGGAGGCTGAGGCAAAATGATCACAAGTTCGAGCCCAGCCTCAGCAACTTACTGAGGACCTCAGCAACTTAGCCAGAAGCTGTCTTAAATAAAAAATAAAAGGGGCTTGGGGTGTTGTTCAGTGCCTAACTATCCCTCAGTTCAATTCCTGATTTTTTTTTAAATAGGGTTATAATTAGTCCAGATAGACAATTTTCTACCAACCCACAGCAATTGATCAATATCTGTTTCTGGAAATAAAATTTCTATGAGCAGAGAGGCAAGATGTACTGTGCCTTAATCAAGAAAGATGACTAACATATCTTAATTTGCTCTGATAAAAAAATGGTACAGAAACCAACAGACTATGTCACAACAAGGAATATATTTTGTGTCCTGGGGAGATTTAGAGATAAGATGTGCCCTACTTTGCTCATGATAGGGCTGCTCCTCAATAATACGTTGATTTATTGACAAGGAGATGATATCTTTTTTGCCTATGCAATCAAAAAATAATGTCAATCCAAAAGCAGAATCTGCAGGACTATAAAGGCTACAATATTCTTTCCACAGAAAGAGTGTACAAACCAATAACATCCACTTTAGGATGCATTTCTGTTAAAGGTGTTTGCTACTCTGAAACCTTGTCAGTGTACTCACAATGGCCTTAACTAAGGATTCATCTTTTTTAAAAAAAATCAAAATGTTGTTGCTGTGATCCTCACTTTCTACTAAAAGGATGATGGAAAGTCTCTGCTCTTCTCGCTGGATTTTTATTTTCTTCATAAAGATAAAGTGGAACATTATTTGTTTTTGTCTTTTGGTACTAGGGATTAAACCCCGGGGCACTCCACTACTGAGCCACATCCCCAACCCTTATTTTTATTTTGTATTTGAAGACTGGGTCTTGCTAAGTTGCCAAATCTGGACTCAAACTTTCTGTCCTTCTACTTCAGGCTCCCAAGGCACTGGGATTAGAGGTGTACACTACCACATTCAGCAAATTGAACTATTAAAAAGAATATTTTTCAAAATTATTCAAGCAAGAGTCATTTATAACATTTAATTTGTTTTATTTGTTTTACTAATTTGTCTCCCTTAGTTTCTTTCATTTCTATATTCTTTGTTATATTTGTTCTCTAAAATGCTGTGTAACAGGTTACCTTGAATTCAGTAGCAGAAAACAACACGTTTTACCTCGCAGGGTTTCTGAGGATCAAGAGCCCAGTAACAGCTTAGCCCAGTGATTGTGGCTAAGGGTCTTTACAGTGAAGAAGAAGTCTGGGGCTGCCATGTCTGAAGGCAGGACTAAGACCAGAGGTTCTGCTTCAGTGCTTACTAATATGTTCTTGGCAGGAGGCTTCACCCAGCTCTTCACCAGCTGTCAGAAATTTCAGTTACTCACCACATAGTTCTCCCCATAGAGCTCACTTACAAGGCTAGTAAGCTTTTCCCAGAGCAAATTATATAAGAGAAAACAAGATAAGAGGCCACAGCACCTTTTATAACCTAACCTCAAAACATATTCTATTGGTCGTACAAACCAACCCATGTATGGTGCAGAGGGAACTATACAGGCTGTGAGTGCCAGGAGGAAGGGATTATTGGAGGCCATCTCAGAGGCTGGCTCTGTGATAGATATGATTTACCCATAATGGAGACCTGAGGGGGAGGTATATACGCAGTTTACAAATTTATAATGGAATATATTTCCTTTTAAAAAATATAATGGCAAGATAATAAAATTATTTAATGTTTTAATGTTCTTGTTACATTATTCATTCTCTTTAACCCCATTATTATCAGAGTTTGATAACCTTACCAGAATTTTGATAATTGGCATAGCATTTGTGATAATTGGCATAGAAATTTTGATAACTGGCATAGCATTAATGCTTTTTTTAAACTAAAAAGCATTAATCAAAATGTATATTGAACAACAAACAGTTTAGAAGTGCAAAATTACTTTCTTCCTCATGATATCAATCAAATTAAAATTAAAATAAGATGGGCAATCTATTTCTTTTAATCCAAGTTATTTCTTAAAACTTTTTGCCATATATGAAGGTGCCTAAAGCATCTTTAGAGTCTGTCAATTATTTGCTTATGTTAAAAGACAAGTAGAAACTGGTTTTATAGCAGAGAATATTCATATAGATTAAACATTGAGAAAATATGCGTAGGCATTAATATCTAAGATTACTTGTCATTTATAACTCCAAACTCACGTTACCACAAACCAGAATATTCTGTTTCTTTATCAGTGAGATCAATAAAGCCATGTTTTGACAAAGTCTTCCATCATTGATATTATAATGCACTATTTAAATTTTATTTCTTATAAGATCCTAACCATTCTGTACATGTTGGGGTCATCCAAAAATGTAGAATCACAGCATTTTAGATCTGGAAAGATCTTTAGATCTTTTTTATGTTAAGAGGATTATTCTTTCTTGTAAAGGTTGGGAAATATTATAATAGATGGTGCTGCCTTCTCAGTTCCCTGTTTGTCTTTAAAAATCTAACTATAATTAAGGACCTAGTAATACCACAGAGCAGTAAATCATGGTAATTATTCTCTATATATCATTTCCAGAAAATACCAATATCAGTTGATACACAATGGTTTCAAGTGTTAGAAGAATGGAAATCAAAGACAGATTTGGGGCAGACTGTGTCCTTTTGAGAATCTCCTATCTTTTCCACACAAGTAGACAAACTTGCATTGTATGGAAATGATCAGTTAGTAGTCTTTCTCTGTATTTAACTTTCTTCTTAAAAATAAACCTGGGATATTTTTTAAATGATCAAGGTGGAACATAGCATTCATTACAAATATAGCACATGCAAACACACAAGAACACACCTAAAACCTAGATTAAAGAGTTTATTTTGCTTAGAATCGGGGTCATATTACAACGTTTAATTCTAAAACAAATGATTTTTTTCTTTCTTTTTGTTTGGCTTGTGATAATACAATGTATCACATAGAGCTAATTTTAGCGGAGGATTACCCCAAGCATTAAGCTAATTCCTTTCTCTGACATTAGTCCCAGCTAATTTACACAAGAATTATGGGACTTAGCCAAGAATGAGCCAGCTTTCAGTGACTGAGCTAAATTTTATTTCCTAGGTTTGATTTGCAATATCAAAATTTGATATTTTCCAAGCTCATTGACTGGAATATGCATATTTATGATAGGATAAGTTCTTCAATAAAATCTGATTGGAACTTGGTAATCTTTCCAATATTCTAAATTAATGTTTCGATTCCTTACGTGTTACCACTAAACTTTTGAATTTTCTTTAAATCAAGGACTATCTTTGGGCTGGGGTTGTATGGCTCAATGCAAAGCACTTGCCAATTGCCCAGGATGTTTGAGGTCCTAGGTTTGATCCTCAGCACCAATAAAAATAATAAGTTAAAAAAATATCTTCCACTTTCCTTCTATACTTTTGTGGTAGTTTTTCAATTCTTTATCATTTCTGTCAAAGGATTTCCACAAATTAATGCTCTAAAATAGTTTTCTTAGAGCATAGTTATGTTTTGTTGTTGTTGTTTTTTGGTACTGGCAATCAAACCCAGGAGTGCTTTGCTACTGAGCTACATCTGCAGTCTTTTTATTTTTTATTTTGAGCTAGGATCTCCCAAAGTTGCACAGGCTGGCCTTGAACTTGAGATCCTCCTGCCATAGCCTCCTGAATCCCTGGGATTACAGCACCCAGCCATTGGCTCCTTTTGTGTTGCTTTATTATATACTTTAGTAAAACCACGTCAACTCCAACCTCCTAGCTCTGATTTTTCAGGAGCATCTATCCTAAATTTTATTTCCTTTTTAGTATAATAACATATTTTAAAACAAATTTTATTTCAATAAAATTTCAGTTGTAAGAATATAAAGAAAAATTTGCCAGGCTTCTCAATAACATCTGAATCTGAATAGCTCCCACATAAGATTCACAACAGTTCAATACACTTTTCTATTTTGTTCTTCAAAACAGGCCTCCAGGCTGTGAGGTGGATGGGCAATTATTATCCCCATTTCACAGAAGAGAGGACTATGAGCTCCTTCAGTTTGTGGAGCATGAGCAGAGACATAGGTGAGAACCGGGGAGGCTTGTGTGCAGAGTACAGCCTTCTGCACAGATCCCTAGATTGTATGTCTGTCTCTAAATAGAGCTTTTGTTGTTGTTGTCTCCTGGTGCATAACAAACTACCCCAAAACTGACTTCAAATAATCATTTTGTTATTTCTCGCAAATCTGGGGGTCAATTGGGACTCCTCTGGACCGTTTCTTTGTTGGTCTCATTTGGGTCCTCACGCAGTTTTAGTGTGAGACAGAACTTCATTCTGTTCCCTTACTTGGAAGGCTGGGCTCAGCTGTAACATGGAACATCTTGACCTCTCCTTCACATGACCTCTTAACATGATCTCTCCAGCAGGTTAGCTGTTGTTTCACATGGCAACCCAAGGCTTTCAAAAAGGACAAAGTGCAAGGTTCCAGGCTGCCTTACAGTTTCCACCCAGAGTTGCTTCAGCCACATTCTTTTGGTTGAAGTGCACTACAGAGTCAGATCAGGTTCAGACTGGAAGAAAATACACAGGGACTGAGGAGTGGAAGACCCCACTCAGGGCCATCTTCAGAGACCAGCTACTATAAGTCTAAGTGTTCCTTTTCCTGCACTAAGACCTCAATTCCTCTCTACTCCTTTTTCAGTTCCCTGTGTCTCTGGTGGCTTACCTAAACCCACAAATATCACCTTCTTATCCATAAACATGAAGAATGTCCTACAGTGGAATCCACCAGAAGATCTGCAAGGCATTGAAGTTAGGTACACTGTGCAGTACTTCATGTAAGTTGGTCCTTTTCCTCTGGCTAGTCTTAAACTCAAGACTCAGACTCCTGTTAATTGTACAAAGATAAACAATCTGTGATATTAGTTTTTTGGAAAAGATAGGTTTTTGAAATTCCATGGTTTCATGATATGTTTTGCTATATTAAATTAGAAAGTAGTTGTTTTACAGAGACAGAAGCATTGGATGCTCAGGCAAGGGGCATTTATTTAAATGGAGAAAATTAGTTGGTCAAATACGATTCTTTGGCTAAGCAAGCAAGGCAGTAGCTCATCTCTGAAATTTATAAAGGCACTGGAATGATAGACTTAGACCTAATGAAATCATAGACTTAGACTTAATGAAACTAAATCCAAATTCTGTGCAACCAGCTATTGATATTAAACATAGTGGTGAGTAGATAATTTTGCTTTCCACCTCTCCTTTAAAACTCATTGCAAACACAAAAGAATGCACAACAGAGAGGCACCTGCATCTTCATCGTGCGTGACAAAGGAAACGGCCACAACCCCAGACCACAAACCATAAAGTTACTACTTTAGTAAAACCTTATGAATGGTAGAATCTAATTTCTGTTTGTTCAAATATCTAATCATCCTTCTGTTTATATTTAGCCCAACTAGATGTCCAGAATCATGTACACCAAATGTCTTAGGATAATGGTTTTCTGGGTGATTTGTTCCTCTCTTGATTATACTTTTCTGATTTTTTTTTGATCGTTTGAATTTTTTTAAAGTGTCACATTTACAAAAAGAAGTCATTTTCATCTTTGAAAAAAAATATATTCTGACCACCAAAATAAGTTAAAGACTTCAGCAGGTATTCACATTGACTTCATTTATCTAGTATCCCAATCTCCACCTCATTTATCCAGAATCGGAGTTTCAGTCTGTGGAGTGTTTAGTTTCATTCTGTGGTGTGTTAGGAAAGAGGAAGAGACGCCAACTTCACAAAGAGAAATAGCTTGTGAGCATGCTCTTGCTTTTTTTTCCATTAGGTGGAGCAAAGAGCTTGCTCTGTCTCTTATATTTTTATGTGTTTCAAAGAAAGAACTTTAAAAATAGGCAGGCTCATTACTGCTCTTATGAGAGCAGATAATTTAGATTGTGCAACTTTTAAGAAGACTTAAATAGAAGCTTGCTGGTTCAGAGTTCTGACATGACCATGCAGGTGGAAGACAGACAGGAATACTGAGTAGATTTTCCACTACTTGGAATACAGAGCTGATGCAGAATCAGTCTCCAGTTCACAGCCAGGCTGTGAACCTAGCTGGGTAACCTCCAGCGGGTTACTTTCTTTGATACTTTTGAGTGAACTTTGTTTATAAGGTAAAATGTTAACAAAAATACAAACAATATCCACCAAAAGAATTGAATGCTGAAAATAGAGTGTCACACTAAAATCACAAAATTTGACATCAGGGAAAAGTGGTTCAAATCTCAGATGTTCCTTTTAATTAGTCATGTGAACTTAAACAGATCCCTTAATCTAATCTTGCTGAGTTTCAATTTCTTTACCTGTAAAGTGGCATAAAATTAATCACGCCTGCCTCTTAAGGTTGTTACTATGATTCAAAGAGATGAAGTCTTCGAATGCTGAGCATGAGGTCTGAGCACAGAAGAGGCTCTTGGTGGATGCTTCTAGTTATTACTAAAAACAGTCTGAAAATACTAAGGGCTCCCATGACTTTTTACCATGGATAAATATCATTACTAGAATATTTGTTGAATAATTAATTTTACATTTTTCATTGAGAATCCAGTGAAGCATATTTTCAGAATCTGTCATGGGAAGGTATCCTACCCTTGGCAGAGTGAAGAGCTGCAGGAGGGAGGGTTGAATAGGCAAAGCCAATATTTTTCAAACCTCAAGTCAAAATGCTTTAGTGGGTCAAGAAATCAATTTTGGGCCACATCACTAGCATTACATTTAATGGAAGAGAACAAAATGGGGTGGTGTGGTGGCATGGGATGGAAAAGAATTTGAATGCATGGTATGTAGTGCAGTTTGGGTATTTTCCTATAAAACTTTCATTTTCATATGTTAGATATGTATGCTCTATGATCTGGATCACAATGTAAAATATATCTTTTGAAAGTGGATCATAGTAAAAAATGTTTGAGAGTCCCTAGGCAGTTTTGATCACTTAGATGGAGAAGTTGGCTCATAAGATCTGACAGTATTTGTAATACCTGTTTGGCAGGTATGGTATTCATAAAGTGAGAAATGTTGGCTTTCAGAAATCTGTTGCCACATTCTGAAAAGGAAAGGCATCCTTAAGCCTTGGCAATACTTGATAAAGTTGCCAGATCCTCCTTATCAAGACACCCTCTTACCTTAACTTTTGTGATATCTGTCTTTCCTCCTCCCTCTTTAGCTGTTATTTCCAATTTGATTTTGTATCCACCCTTCAAATCTCTATGCTCCTGAAGTTTTCCACTAGACTATGCTTTGCATTCATGGATGAGTTCATTCTCGCCTACTCCCTCAATGAGCAGATGTATGCCATTAACTCCAAATCCTCTCCCTCCCTCTACACCTCTCTCCTGAACCACATTGCCCAATCCCTGGCATCTGCACTTAGATAGCTCTCACATAATTCAAGCTCAATGGGTCAACACCGAACTCACTCTTTCCCTCTTTCTAGTCCTGCCATCCCCATTTCCCAAGCCTGCCCTTTTTTAATGTCCCTTGTCATGGTAAATGTTACCACTATTCCATCCATCCCATCTTTGATCTCACATGCACTCAATCACCAAGTCCTGTCTCCTTTTATTTCTTGCTGTCATGTCCTCACTCATTCCATGGTCACCATCTTGTCCAAGGCATCTGTGTCTTCCACCTCAATGACTGCAGTATCCCCTCAACTGCTCCCAGGATGCCACTCCTAACCCATTACATTCTCCACACCACAAAGCAGAGTTGCTTTCTAAACCATGCCTCTCTCCTGTCCTCACCTTTAATCTCTTTAGTAGCCTCCCATGCATCCCTATACTGGCTCATCACATTTTACTTAAACCCTTTATACTTCAGTCTCTCCCACCCAAAAAGTGCTAAAAATATTTCCCCTACCCTATTTTTATGAATGTTGTGTATTTTTAATAAAGGAAAAGAAAACCAAAATGAATAACCCTAGTCAGTATCATCATCACCATCAACATCATCATTATTGAAAATTCAGTTTTTGGTACATATTCCAACCTAGTGAGTTTTCACCAACACTCTGGATGACTAAAAGATTTTTAAATTTTATGAGAATGTCATGGTAATTTTTCTTTCAAGAAAAAAAAAATGACTAACTTTTCTTAAAATAACCCATCAAACTGACCTCATCTACAGAGTGGACTAAAACCTTAGATAATAACTAGAAGAATTGATCACATAATATGTAAGTTTTACTGTAGGTGAAGAATAAAAATAAAATACATGCTTTCAAAATGTACTATCCACATTATAATTCACAGAAAAGAAAGGTGATTACAGAAACTCTGACTCATATTCCTGACAGCTAATGAAAAAATTGCCAGCAGCAAAAGTGGATTCTTTTTTATCTCAATGACAGGCACTTTTGTTTATCTGAAGAGAAGGTCTTCCATTCAATTTTATATAATGGCTGTTCTTTTTTTTTTCTTTTGTAATTGTAAAACATAGAGGGTACCTCATTATTAATTCATAGTTTCCCTCTTAGCAGATATGGGCAAAAGAAGTGGCTGAATAAATCCGAATGTAGAAATATCAATAGGACCTACTGTGATCTTTCTGCTGAAACTTCTGACTATGAACACCAATATTATGCCAAAGTTAAGGCCATTTGGGAAAAAAATTGTTCTAAATGGACTGAAACTGGACGATTCTATCCTTTTTTAGAAAGTAAGTAATGCAATCATTGGTCAAACATGCATTAATATCACATTATTCTGCCCTCCTGGTTTGACTTCTCAGCCCCATAGACAATCTTACCACAGAGAAAAGGCTCTGCTTGGTTCTGTTCTGCCCCAGCAGGTTGAGTGACCAGGCCAAGGTACTTACCTTGCCAAACCAAAATCAAGGCAAGTGCTAATAATATTGAATTTAATTTTGTTTTATCATTTGGTGGAAGCTATAAAATTTGAGAAACAACCAACAGATTTTTTTTTTCTTTTTGAAACAGGGATTGAACTCAGGGGCACTCAGCCACTGAGCCACTTCCCTAGCACTCTTTAATGTTTTATTTAGAGACAGGGTCTTCCTGAGTTGCTTAATGCCTTGCCTTTACAGGGGCTGGCTTTGAATTCTCCATCCTCCTGCCTCAGACTCTTGAGCTGCTGGGATTACAGGCATGCACCACTGCGCCTGGCCAACAGATTCTTTTTAATGTTGTAAATTAATGCAATTCAGAGATTGTCCTTTTTGTCCTGATCACTCAACTAAGTCTCTCCTTGTCATAAACTTGGTAGTGTGGTGATGTCACTTCAAGGTGTGACTCAGAATTAAGGCAACATCTTCTTGGTATTTGCTTTTATAGTTTGCTTTCTTGTGATCTGTGGCTGACTCAGCCGTGAAGAACTAACATGGGGCCACCATGATGAATCCTGCAAGGTCTCCAGAGGCTCCCAGAGCTGGTGCCATTGCCAGTGCTCTGCAAATCAGAGGTTGGCAAGCTACAGCCCTCAGGCCAGATCCAGCTCCTTCTTTCTATTCTTCTCCAGGTGCTAAGAATGGTGCTTATATTTTTAAATAGTTTTTAAAAACTCTAAAGAAAGCAGGATGAGGTAGTCCATACCTGGAATCCCAGTAACTTGGGAGGATGAGGCAGGAGGATTTCAAGTAGAAGGCCAGCCTCTGTGACTTATCAAGGCCCTGTCTCAAAATAATAAAAAGAGCTGGGGATGTGGCTCAGTGGTAGAGTATCACTGGGTTCAATCCCCAATACTGGGGAAAAAAAATCAAAAGAAGAATATTTTGTGACACAAACCATGTTCATTTGTTTACATAGTTATCTCTAACTACTTTTGTGCTAGAGTAGAATTGTTGCAACAGAAGCCTATGGCCCACAGGGTCTTAAGTATTTCCTTTCTGGACCTTTTTGATAAAAGTTCACTGATCTCTGAGATCATTCTAATTGTTATCTCTGATTTTTCCATTTATTGAATCATAATATTAATATCACCACTTTTCAAGTCACAGCGATGTTGCAAACACTTTTGGTTCTATTTACCATCACCAAGTACTGTTTATCCCTGTGCCTAGGAACTAAGTATACACTGTGCCCCAGATTTGCTGTTTGAACTTTGTGTCAAGGTGTGTGAAATGACTGTTTCAAGATCTGGTGTACCTGAAGCCCAACTTAGCATGTTTTGTGGCATCTCTTACAGCAGGCATTTTAGGTCTTTGATGAAAGTAGAATTATATTGTACTTTAACAATAAGGTGATTTTTTTAACATAATACCCTCCCTATTCCCGTTTAAGCACAAATTGGCCCACCAGAGGTTGCTCTAACCACTGACGAAAAGTCCATTTCTATTGTCCTGACGGCTCCAGAGAAGTGGAAGAGAAATCCAGAAGACAGAACAGTTTCCATGCAACAAATATACTCCAATCTGAAGTACAACGTGTCCGTGTATAACACCAAATCAAAAAGAATGGTAAGCCTGAAATGGAATGGGGCACATACCCCATGTACCACTTTCTGTCACTCAAGTGGAACAAGCAGCCCTAATCCTTTCTCTCTGTGTGAGAATAAGGGAAACGCGCTCTTTAAGAGATGCCCCAGTGGTCACGGTGGCACACACTTGTCATTTCAGCTGCTTGGGAGCCTGAAGCAGGAGGATCACAAGTTCAAAGCCAGCCTCAGCAATTTAACAAGGCCCTAAACAACTCTGAGATCTTGTCTCTAAATAAAATATAAAAAGGGCTGGGGATGTGGCTCAGTAGTTAAGCGCCCCTGGGTTCAATCCCCAGTACCAAAAAGAAAAAGATGTGTGATATGAGAGATAGCTGAAGCTCATTTGTAGAAAATTTACAGAGCTGAGCTAAGATGTTCCTCCTAGAAGCTCTATTAACAGTGCCTGATGCTATTGTTGGAGTATAGAGCAATTGTGTGCTTCCCTTGATGAAGAGCCTTTACTTATATGTCACCTGTCAGTCACTCTAAGGATTAAAAAAAAAAAAAGTCAAAAAGTCAGCAAGAATACAGGACAAAGATGATTAAGAAACTCACAGCCCTATGTTATTACTTAGAATTGTTCCTAGAATTGGTCCAGTTCCTAACCATGCTTTGCTGAGCTATAAACAAACAAACAAACAAATAAATAAATAAAAGGATTTTTAAAATTCTTCCTGAAAAAGTAAAAACTTGTAGTGATACTCATGGGTCAAATGGCAGCTCAGTCTTCTATTTCCTTCTGGAGTTGTCTGGTCGTCCCAGAATCTTTGACTTTAACTGCTGTTTGAAATTCCCTGTCCTAGTGGTCCCAGTGTGTCACCAACCACACACTGGTGCTCAGCTGGTTGGAGCCAAACACTCTATACTGTGTCCACGTGGAGTCCTTTGTCCCAGGGCCCCCTCGCCACATGCGACCTTCTCAGAAGCAGTGTGTCAGTACTTTGGAAGGTAAGCTTCAAAAAAAAAAAAAAATCTCAGCTAATTTGAGGAAGGAAATCTGATAAGTCTAGAAGGAAGTATAGCAGTTTAAACAAGATTTTTTTTTTTAAACCTTGAAGACAATTTATTTAAAGCAGTTTATGTTCACTAGTTCTAACACAAAATGAAACAAGGTTACATTTCACTTTGTCTTTTATTTTATTACTTTTTGTTCTAGAAAGGATTGATAGTGATTTAAAGTATATGTACTAGAATAAGGTAATATAAATTAAAGGTAAACAAACTAAGAAAGAAAAATGGGCAAGTTCATAGAAATTGATCCATGAAAGAAGCCAATCTAGAAAAGCAGTGTAAGAGAATCTCTATGGTTGCTACTAGTAATCTTTAAATTGTTTCCAGGTTTTTCAACAGACCAGATAGAAAGAGATACATAACCAGTTGCACAATCACGACCCATGGGACTCCAATTAAACCAGTTGCTTAATAACAATCTAGTTTTTCCTGATACTAACATTGAATAGTTCTTCAAAAAAAAAAAAAAAACTTGAGTATATGGTAATGAATAATGCCCTCAAGAGCAGTTATCCTTCCTCTTCTACTGCTACTGTTAGACTAAAAAGCCATTGAAACATCAAATCATAAACTCTTCCCAGCCTAGGGAAGATTAGAGCCACCAAACAAGTGTACTCTGAGGGGAGACATAGGAAGAAGGGATGCATTCACAACTGTGGGCAAAATGACAGCTGTCTGCTATTTTAAACTCTTATGACTAAAATATTTATTAACTGTTTCCAGGTGATAATAATCATTACTCCTAACTAACACTAGAAGACTTTGTTCTGCAAATTAATTGGAGATGATAAATTATCAGGTTTTCTTGATTTGAGTTTAGACAAGATGCTGACGAATCCATGCCCAAGAAAGGCAGGTTGAGGCAAAGGCAGAAACTTCTATCATCTGAAATGAATTAAACTGCCTGAGACTCAGCCTTCAAGCTTGCCAATGTTAAGGAATGTTGTCACCACCTCCGGGAGCCCTAAGCACAGGATCCAGGGTCCACTGCCAACAACCCTCCCTGGTCACACAGCTTCCTGTCTTAGGAAATAACCTTAAGAATGTTCACACACATCCTTTTTCTTCTTTAAAGTCATAATCACTCTGATCAATAGAAGCTCAGTGGTCTTCAAGAGCATCCGAAAATTTTATTGCAAGAAACAAAGCACTGTCCTGAAAAAATCTTTAAAAACAGAATTGTTCTTGCTCTCCCTTGGGAATTCAAATTACAGGCTTCTCATGTTGTGCTCCAATACCACTTAGCTGCATGAGGGGATGGAATCAGCAAATCAGTAATTACTCCCCTGGTGTTAGAGTTGGCTTCTGTCTCTCCTTTGTCTCTTTCTCACATTTTCTGAGTGGGACTGCCGAGGAGCTCTGGTAGAAGGTATTTGCTCCTGTTAGTAGATTTGGTGTTCTGAGCATGGCACTTCTTTAATCTTTCTGCTCCAAGGTTGACAGGAGCATTACCTCAAACCTGAATAAATCCTAAAGCTGCATGGAATGCCTCTTTATGCATAATTCTTCACTTCTCCCTTCCAACAAACACACTTTGCCCAAAGCCTTGATTCTATTGCCAGCTATAAATAGGATTCCAGAGCCCCCATTTTCCTCTCCCCTCTCCCTCTCATCATCCAAGATGAAACTTAAGGAAACTTAAGGAAAAGGGGGGACTATTGTGAAGATATATGGAAATCCTCATCATTGTTGAATTCCTGTATTTCTCATACCTTTTTCTTTACAATGAAGAGTCCCTTGCAATATTATAATTAAAACTAAAATGCCCAGCAAGCAAAGAGCAAAACAAAGCAGATTGAAGAAATCATTTTTGTATTTGGAAAAAGTGCTGTGTTTACTCACAGCTTGATCAGTGCCAAATGGTGGGAATTAATTTCCAGTGGAAATCATTTACTCAGTTGGCAGAACCAACGCCAACTAAAGCACAGATTGAATTAAACACTTCCCGGTGAGCAGATGGAGCCCACTTTCTCACCAGTGTAGAAAAAGGAATAAAATAATGAGGCATTTCTGATTCTGAACTTCCCCCATCATCTCAACTGTTAGATCACTGGACATAATTTTCCAAAGCACCACTTTCTTAAAAATCACTATTACCTCTTTGGAGGTAATTCTTTGAAAAATATTTCTGCTCTCCACAATCTCCCAATCCCTAAAATGCAGATGCAGGTGATCAGGTTCATTGAGGCTCATGTGCTAGTGTACACAGATGCCCTCAGTCATTGTTGTCATGACTCCTCTTAATTAGGACAGGCTCAATCAAGGACCTAGGGGTTGTATTAAGAAGATAGAGCTGACCTGCAGCCTAAAGCGGAAACAGGTGGTATTTGGACACATGTACCACCTGCACCACAGCCTTGGCATGTTACTGTGTAGGAGCTGAAGATAAGCATGCTCTTCTGGAACTGAGCAGTGTGGAAGAGGCTGAGCTCCACCCTATACTGGACTTTTCCCACCGGCTATTGTTGACCACTCGCACTCTCCAAGACACACCTGTTTGCCATCTGGACAGTTACTTTGCTGCTTTCTCTTAGACCCAGGAATCAAAAGCATCCAACATTCTAGAATGTTAGACTAGAATGCTCCCGTGACATTCATACTGGTTTTATTACTGTGTAAGGAATACTTTAGAACTTTTGCCATTTATGCTAAATTTGTGTCCTTTTTCTACATCTGTTTTAGTCATAATTTTTTTTAAAAAAACAGAACCAATAGGATAGATAGATTGTAGATAATTAAAGAAAAGAAAGAGAGAAAGAGATTGATACTGAGGAGTCAACTCATGCAATTATATACGCTGGCTAGTCTAAAATCTGTAGGGCAGGTGGCAGGCTAGAGACCCAGGGGAGAGCTGATGTTGCTGTTTGTGTCCAGAGGCAGTCTGCTCACAGAATTCCCTCTTCTTCCAGGGTCATCAGGTTTGATTTGTTTTGTTTTGCTTGTTTTAACTAAGGGCTTCAACTGATTGGATGGGACCCATCCACATTATAAGGGATAATTTGTGCAAAATCTACCAATTAAAATGTTAATCTCATCTAAAAACTGCCTTCAGAGAAATATCTAGGATAATGTTTTGCCACATATTTGGGTACTATGGCCTAGCCACATTGATGCATAAAATCAACCATCCCAACTTTCATCCAGGGCTGGTGGGCCCTGGTTGAAATGGTGGGCCAGGGCTGCGTTTCTGAAAGTTGTTCGTAAGGTCTTTTCATTCCTCTGAGACTTTTGCTCATCCTAAGCCTATAGCACTGAGAAGGTGTTGCTGCCATTCCCAGAGCTCCTGCTTGGCCACCTTCCTACACACGTGCCCAAGCTCCGACCCTACCCAGAAAGTCTGGCCTACCAAGTGCAAAATGGTTCTGTTAGACACCTACGTGGCCATGTCATACATTCATGTCCTCTACTGAATATGTGGAAATGATTGAGCCAGATGAGTGGCATGGGAAAGTGGGGCAGCTTCATGGGATCTTTGCAAGAGTTTTGCCATGCGGTTTGAAGAGCTGTAAGTTACCTGCAGTCAGACACACTGCCCCACAAATGTGCAACCCAGCATAAATCTCAGAGCCAGATGTAAGATGTTAGAGTATCCACTGATGTCAATTGTTAACATTTCCTTACTATAAAAATGTAAGATGAGTCTAGATGATTCCTTCTGATTATTTATTGTTGGGAGATTGAGAATTCTGAGGCCCTTTGTATCATTTAGCTCGAGCTTCTCAATGTAGAAGTGAGAAGACTGAGTCCCTAATGTAAATGACTTGCTCAAAGCATCTCAACGTGGCCTGCGTTTTCTCATCATATGAAATCACAGCTATCCAATCCTTACCCACCTCCTCTCTTTTGTAAACAGATCCATCATCAGCATTGAAAGTTAAAATCATCTTCTGGTATGTTTTGCCCATATCTGTAATCGTGTTTCTTTTTTCTGTGATTGGCTACTCCATCTACCGATATATCCACGTTGGCAAAGAGAAGCCCCCAGCAAATTTGGTGAGTGCTTGGCATACCATGTTCCAGGACAGAAATGGAAGTGCTAGTACAGATATAGTTCCTCTAAGGGCAGAATGGATTTGAAGTTAAAGAGTTTATGTGTTAAAAAGCACTTTTTATACTGGATTAGCTCATGAACATAACCAAAAATAAAGATTCCTTCACTTTGAAAAGATTTTATATTTAATGACTGGATTAGACAAAGTCCTGGGATGCACAGATAAAATTAAGTTATGATCCCTGTCCTCCTGGAGGTTCCAGTCTAATCAGGCTAGAATGTAATACATGAAGGTTAAGGTGAAATCAGGTCATGGAGACTCTGGAGGTACAGGGAGGCCCCCCCAACCCTACATATGGGGCCAATTCTCCCGTCAGAGCTTGGGTATGCAGGGGAAGTTTGGACATTTACTGTAGGCAGAAGAGAGAGCAGAGGAAAAGGGGGGGAAGGGGCAGATGTGTGGTAAACCACGCCATATTGCTGAATCATAAGGTTCCTGATAAGAGGCTAGACTGAAGAGCTGGGGTCAGGCCTGGTAACGGGGAAATTGGGATGATATTCTAAAGAGCCTGAGCTCTATTCTGTTGGCAGAGAGAAATCACCACAGGGTTTTAAATTAAGAGTGTCATAGCCACCATTGTCTTTTAGATCTAACTGGATATTAGGATGACCTTAAAAGAAATAAGATTATAAAACAAGAAAAGCCACTAGGAGACTGGGACAATTGTCCAGGGAAGAAAAAAGACCAAACAAAGAAAGTGGGATGTGGAATGGATAAACACTTAGGAGCAATATGGCCAGGTCTTGATCACTGAAGGCCAGGAGAAGCAAGCGGGAGCAAGAAGGAATAAGCCCAATGTCCCCAGACTGTCTGCAGAAAGGTCCCCAAGGCCTGAGCAGCATTTGTTTCACATAAGAACTTATTTCCTTGGGAATTAGTAAAAGATGTGTTCAAACATATGTGTACACAGCAGGAATACCTGTTCCTGTTAGTTCCATTTGTAGACTTTTCTGCTATTCTGCTGGCATTTAGGTTTCAGAGTTATTTCTTAAGGGAAGCCCTTTCCTGGGAGGAAAATTCACAGGAGAATTGATGTTGATTTTTTTTTTTTTGAATACTGAATATTTTGTAAAAGCCTGAGGCTAAAGGTCCTTTTTTCTAATGTTAAATGAAATCATGTCTTGGGGTGATAATGGAAGTCATAACCTAACTTATCAACAACTGGTGCTTTCATAGGTAACAGATGCCTTCCACATATCCCACCAAAATTTTAATCTCAAATGACCTTCCCTGACACAATTTAGAGGTTCTCTATTTACCATAAACTGGCAGGTCAATGTCCCTCGTTTGGACTTACTCTACCATGATTCATGCATGGCGAGGAGTCGGGGACAGTGAGAAAAACCATTTCTACTCACATTCTTACATCCATTCTACATCCAATATACCTTTCCACATGCCATGGCACCCTAGAGGACCCCCACTTATTAGCAAATACATAGCATGCTATCAATACCAAAGCAATTATACAAACTCTCAATCTTTACTACTTTTAATGTGTCAGAGATCCTAATTTTGAAGAATTTAAAAGCTCAAGAAATTTATCAACTCACCTGCAATCCCTCCACCTGTTAGAGGAGGGGACAGCCACACCCTGCGCCTCAGATTGGGTAAACGCCCACCTGCAAATGACAGTTCCTTCCATACATATTTTGTGTGTCGTGGGTCTCTTGGCTCCCAGAAAATGAGATTTTCTGTATATTCTGAGCATAACTTCCCTGAGCTGGTGAGAGTAGGTTTTTCAAACTATCTGATGACACCATAAATTCTAGGTAACAGCTGTTTTTAATGTCTCTTCTAAAGTGAAAAGGTGAAAAAATCATTCTCTTCTCTCTTTATAGATTTTGATTTATGGAAATGAATTTGACAAAAGGTTCTTTGTGCCTGCTGAAAAAATCATGATTAACTTTATCACCCTCAGTCTTTTGGATGATTCTAAAATTCCTCAGAAGGATATGAGTTTACTGGAGATAAGTAGCGACGGAACCAACCTTAATGATGCTGAGTCCCTCGGGGACCCAGAGCCCCATCCAGAGGAGGTGGAGACCATACACCTAGGGTATGCTTCCCATTTGATGGAAATCTTCTGTGACTCCGAGGAGAACGCCAAAGAAACTTCTCTAACCCAGCAAGAGTCGCCCAGCAGAACAATCCCCGCAGGTAAAGCAGTTGTCCAATATGAGTATGACGTAACAACTGGCATCTGCAGGGGGCCTGAAGATGAAGAGCTCTGTGTGCAGGAAGGGGTGTCCACGCAAGGAAAATTAGTTGATCAACAAGCAGCTTTGGCCAACTTGGGCCCACAAACGTTACTGGGTTCCTATACCCCTCGGCTCAGCGACTTGCTTCACCTGGAACTCCAGCAAACAGGCTCAGAAGAGGGGCTAGAGGAAGAGCCATCCACAACACTGGTCGATTGGGACCCTCGGACGGGCAGGCTGTGTATACCTTCATTATCTACCTTTGACCAGGACTCCCAGGGCTGTGAGCATCATGAGCCTGACCAACTCTCAGAGGAGGGCCTTTTGTCTAGACTCTATGAGAAACAGGCACCAGGCAAGTCACCAGAAGAGAAGGAAAACTATCTCAAGCAATTTATGGAGGAATGGGGATTGTATGTACAAATGGAAAACTAACCCAAGACTTCCCTACCATGACTCAGTGCAAACAAACGAGGGACCCAACAATAAAGAATCTGGACTACAAGTAGTGTATTCAGATGCATCAGGGTCAGCAAGAATGAGTTATTTCTTCCTCCTGTTCTCCTTTGCACTTGTTTGGTCTTGCTTCCTGTGGGTGTCTGGCTCACACATGTGGGTCTCTTACAATAGTGATGTGCCCCCCTGGGGTACAGGGACTGGCCACTGGACTGGGCATTCAGTGAATGTTTTCCATGTTGAGTGCAGAACTTATTCAGGAGGGTGCATTGAGGCCACTTTGTGTATTAGGTTCTAACAAGCATGCTTCTCCAGTTTTCTTCTGGGCATTTACCACATGTATGTAATGCTATAAAGACAGTTCATAAGGGCCATTTATGTTACAATGCTACTTTTCTAGAACATTTTGATTTTGAGGATGAGATACTGGAAAAATATATTAAAAAAAATAGGTCACATGTTAAAGACCAACCCACTCTTCACTCATAATAATCCAGGCTTAGAGGGAGTACTCAGGCACAAACCTCCATGATGTTACTTGCTTTTGTCTACCCTAAGAGGTGATACCCTAAGTTCTGGAGCATGAACATAAATGATTATTCTTTTGTAACAGAAAAATGCCCCTTCAGTCATTCAGTAGGGGCTTTTGTTGTCCCTCAAAACTAACCCAAACATAATTGCCACATTTTATAATAGATTATTACATTTATTTCTGGAAATGTGTTGTTAAAAAGATATTTACATAATCTGTAATCCAGGGGGTTCCAGAAGCTGGAGTACTATGTTACTCTTTTTTGTCAAGTATTTTCAAGTGCCTGGCAGACTCTTTGGAGTACGTGTGAGTGAGTATCCTCTGTCTGCATAATATGAAAATCAGTAAATAAATGCAGGTCATAAGAAAAGATAATTTAATGAACTTGGAGAGTTTATTAACATTTGACATAATTTACTGTGGGAACTAAAATGTACCATGAAATAACACCTTCTTGGTTAAATTCCAGTAACTATCTCCATGTCCTTTTCCAATTGTTTAGACAATTCTACAGTCATATTGCATTAAAATGTGACAGAATTTATAAAGTGGAACCATATAAAATTATTGGTATTAAGTTGTTTGAGATCTGTGTAAACAGCAATTACATATGGCCTACCTTAATATATATTTGTTTTAATCATGAACTCATAATTCACTGATGCTCTTTCAGGAAAACAGATACTATCCATATTTCCTCATCATGTTTTTAACAAAGGCAGACAACGCTGGTAGGAAAGATGGATTTGGGGGTCATGGTCTTTTGTGATTGTCCACAAATCCAAACAGTTTATGATCTAATGGTTTAATTTACAGCATAATTATATTAACCAGAGTGTTCTGTTCTAACTATATTTGTAGAAATGATTCTGTTGTTTTGAAGAGCAAAATTTCAACATGAACTATAAAAAAAGTTCAGGAGTGCAAGAGAATGAGTTGTTATTAAAGCAAAAAAAAAGTAACTGATAATAGTTTGGCATGTTCATTTCATTGACAAAATATTTATTGAGCATCTACTATATCTTTCCATAGCCTCATCTGTGAAATAAAAATAACAACCTCCTTTGAGTTACTTTGAAAAGAGACTATAGAAGCCACTTACAGCAGTGCCTGGCATATAAAGGTGCTCTGTAAGCGTTTGTTATCATCATTATTCACTGCCAGATCATACACTTTGTACTGGAAAGAGAAGCCATTTAGACATAAGACTATTTTGATTCAAAAGCAGTCCTTGCCTCTCTTTATTTTTCTGACCTGACAGTACTGTAGTATATTGCTCCCTGCTCTATGCCTTCAGATTCAAATCCCTCAGGGGTTAAACCACATTTTCTGGCTTTTGAAAAGGGAATCTAATTCTGAGTTGTTTTTCCATCTCTTGTCATTCTAGACATGCCAGAAGTACTGAGCTTTTCTCTAATTTTGCTGCTTCAGTACTTTACAACATACATGTATACACTGGTGGTCCCTGGCTTAATGATGGTTCAACTTGATGATTTTTCAGCTTTTCCATGGTGCAAAAGCCATACACATTATGAAGAAACCTTCCTCCAAATTTTGCATTTTAATCTTTTCCTGGGCTAACAATACGGGTTATGATCCTCTCTCTGCATAACAGGCCCCGGCAGCAAGCCACAGCTGCCAGTCAGCCATGTGATCCCAGAGGCAACAAGGGACGCTGTGGTGGCCTGCCTTGCTGTATGTGTAGGTTACCATGACATGGATGAGTGTCCCCCAAAGTCCATACGTTAAAGGCTTGTTGTACAGGGTGGCACTGTTAGGAGGTCAGAGGTTCTTAGCTTATTGGGGATGTGCCCTGAAGGACCTGGCTTGTATTGGGAACACTGGTCCCACATACACTCCCATCATGATGGACCATCCCTGCCAGAGGCCCAAATCCACCCAATCTTGGGCTTAAGTCTCCAGAATTGTGAGCCAGAATAAACCTCTCTTTACTTCATAAGAAGCCTGTGTATTTTGTTGTAGTGATATGAAGCTGACTGACACAATTTATTAAATGCATTTTTTACCTATATGTTCAACTTATATCAAGTGTATCAGAATATAACTCCATCATTAGTTGAGGCATATCTGTATGCTCAACCTCGAGTACATGATGGATATTTCTTGTGGGGAAAAGTTACATCTTCTCGGATGTAGGCAGCTGTCATGCATCCTGTCTTCTGTGGCCAGACCTTTCCACTGCCTCTGGGACCTCATAAGATTCCATCTCTAGGCCTGAGGTTCCAGTGGAGCTGTGATGTTGAAGTGTCAGGGTCTTTGACAAGTCAAGTATACTCCTCCTGCCTCTAGGCATCCCTCAATTCTAGAGTTTTACATGGTCCTTCCACATCAGATTAATTTTCCTTGTGACAACATGTCTTAGTGACTATTTCCATACCCTATAAATCCTAAACAACTAGGAAACAAAACTGAGTGTCATGAGGGTAGAAAGGAAGCAAAGTGAGCTTGTCACCTCAGGCTGTAAAATGAGAAAGATCTAGTGCCCTGGGCTGAGCTCAGCTCCAAAAAAAAAAAAAAATCAGCACAGCAAGGAAAAACTATTTGTACAGCCCAGAGCACAAGCCTGCCCAGGGTGATGAATCTAATGAGAACATTAAACAGAGGGTTTGATCATCATGGATGGGTGCACCTGGGTCATAAATCAAATTCCTTCTGGCCCACACATTACCACCCCCACATCTTGCAGATGAGTTTAGGCTAAATTAACCTAGAATTGTTTTTCTTGATTTTCTTTTTGTTCCCCACGTTGTATCAACCATAAATTTTCCATCTACATTTTTTTTTCAAAGACTGCTCAAAAACATGTGCCTATAGTTTTAAAATAAATAATGCTATGGCTGTGGGTATTTTAATAGTAGTTTTTATTTTTATTATTGAAGACGTATATTCTATATTCTCAAATTTATATGTATAGCATATGCATGTTATATACATGTTTGTTTATATGTTAGAATAACAAGAAATAAGTGGAGAAGAAAAGGAAAATTATCTATAATATTTCCAATTTTGTCTCTCCTGGAACATTTGGCAGTGTCTGGAGACATTTTTTTTTTTATTATTGTTGCTGTTTTGTGTTGTTTTGTCCCCCACTATATTGCCTAGGCTAGTATCAAACTTGTGAGTTCAAGTGATCCTCTCGCCCCTACCTCCCATGTAGTTGGGACTGCAGGTGCACCCCCCCAAACACAAGTCTTGGAGACATATTTTATTGTCATGGCTCACAGGGAAAGTATAGCTTCTAATGGGGAAAGGCTGAGAATGTTACTGAATATCATACAATATACAGAACAGCCCTTCTGCTCTGTGTGATCATGAATTATGTGGCCCAAAATGTCAATAGTACCTAGGTGAATAAACCCCAGTTTAGAACTTTTCAGACACTGCTGTTGCATTGCATATATTTTTCCATAAAAGGAGGATCATATTGAAATCTTTTATAACTTACTCCTTTCACTCAAAAATACTTAACAATCTTAACTCTAGATTAAAGTTTATAATGCACTAATCTTATTCAAACTTGAACTTTTGAAGCAGCACATTAGGAATGATTTTCTCTAAACATAATGCTCTTAGAATTTTTTTTTACTGAAACAGTGACCACACTTTGGAGCTATTAAGACTCCTTTACAGATACTACAGGGATCCATCTTGACATGACGGTTGCCATCATGAATCATAACTGCCGTGATGGCCCTACTAGGTTTTCCCACATAGTTTTCCAGCATACTATAAGTAAGCTAAAGCATTAGAGTGGTCTGTGGAGCTTGGATGAAGTCACTTTCATCTCAACCACATTATAAGCCCTCTATTTCTGGTTCAAATTGTGGGGATCCCCTGGTCTTGCTGCCACCTGGGACTTCATTTCTGTCAATAAGATGCCAATGAATTGCACTCTGAGCAACCCTGGATCTGTCTGCCTCTTCCTCCAGTTTCATTGTACCTTGGGGCCAGTTCTCATGCATGGGGCCTGGGTTGTTCCAGAACAGATACTATGAGTCTGTTAAAGATAACTAAAACTTGGGCTGGGTATATAGCTCAGTTGGTAGAGTGCTTACCTCGTATGCACAAGGCCCTTGGTTCCATGCCCAGCACCACAAAAAACTTTCAACAACATTATTTCCTGAAAAGCACTACATGCAGGACTTCAGACCCTCGTTGACAGAGGCTTTGCAGCCCAGTCCTGTTACCATTTCAGCAAGACCCATGTTTCTCCTGGCTCCTTGCCTGTGGCAGCTGCAAGATTTTAATCCTACTTTGCTAATTTTAATCTTTAACAAGTTTGCCAACTCGTTTTCATGCTCGTAAAGATGCCAGGCTAAGTTTGTCCCTGCATTGCTACACACAATCTCCCTCTAGGGCGGGATGTGGGCTGGTATGTGATGTGACTTGGTAGCTTTATGTTAATGTTTGTGTTGGTGGATTGAGGTTCCTTCTGTCCCAAGGAACTGGATCTATGGCTCTTTGCTACATCTGGAAACATATGAGGCACTTTCTGCCTTACCCTGCCCAGCAAATTTTCTTTGATTTCTCAGTCTGTCATTCTCTGGATTAGGTGGTACCTGGAGGCTTCCCACCAACCCAGAAGATGGACATATGGCCCATGTTTACATTTTCATACTCTGGCCACAGAGACAGATGAACACTGATGAGGAAAACACCATCATCCATTTGTGTCCCTGGAATTGATTTCTATGGGACATAAAAATAAGACTCTGCTCTTACAGGTCTCATACAGTTAAGATAATTCACATATTATTCTTTCTTCTCATACAAGTACATTCTTCCCCATCCTGAAATTGATTGAAAATGTAGAAACTTCAGGGGGTTTGATACAATGGGGAAAACATGATAAAAATTTTATTCCCAACCCCCATAAAAGGAGGTATGGGGTCTTGGATCTCTTAAATTTATTGACTTTTTTGCTTTTAAAATAATTTGGTTGCATTTGACTGAAAATTTTACTTGTCAGAAGATAATAATTTCGTATACCTCATAGGATTATGGGAGATTTTAATAAAATGCTTAGAACAATGATTGAGACAAAATAAGTGCTCAGTAAATGTTGCTAATAAAAATAAAGAGCATCAGAAGACATACAAGAATGTTTATAGAAGCATTGTTAACTGAAAAAGAAATCTAGAAGAAACACAAATGTTCATCAGTAGTAGAAAGCATTGAAAATAAATAAGCTACAGCTGATCATGGCAAATGTGCATGAATCTGACAAAGGTAACATTGAACAAAAAGAGTGATTCCCACCTAGAGGATAATTCCACTTGCATAAAGTCCCCAACCGTGTGGAAATAAACACTATGGTGCTTAGGGACACATACCTATGTGGTTAAACTATAAAGAAAGGCAGAGATACGACTGACACAAAGCTCAGGATCATGGCTCCTTCATTTAAATCAAACTACAGAGCAGGACTGAGCTCCAAGGGGCTTCTTTGGAATTGGCAATGTTCTCCTTGAATGGTGGTGGAAACGGTGTTTCTTTGATTAGTTTTCTTTAAACTGAGCATGTACCCCAATGTATGTATACTTAATTATGCAAAATGATAAGAGAACCCTCAGCTTCTCAACACTGGAATTACAAGAGCTATTATCCAGTTTCCCTTGGAAGTCAGAAACAAGTGTATTTATGGTCATATTCTGTGTACAAAGTTTTCAGCTAAGTCTAAAATTCTGAACAGGAAAGAGCTGTTGACGATCTGTTTAACTGAGTTTCTATGTTGAAGGGCATTGCCAAGTTTAACACTTGGGCTTTCCTAAGAACTTTCATTACTCAAAAAGGATACCTGAGCCTTGGCAGGAAGTGAGGAGGACAGTGATTCACTCAAGTCTCTGAACTGCAAGCACCTGTCTACTTCTCACAGGCACTAAGAATTAATTAGGCATAAGGCCTCAGGCAGGCAGGCAGCCCTACTG